GCTGCGGATGATGGGGCGTATCAGGGCTGGGTTTGACGAGCCGCCAGCCCTTTTTCCACCAGTTGCTGCAGCAGATAAGCGACAACACCTGGTGAGAAACGACTGATACAACTACATGACAGTCTTGTCATTTGCCGAACAGGGAAAAAGGGGCTGACGCCGGATAAACTCACCCCCCCCCCCTTGACAAGCCCACCATTAGCGGCGAATGAGAATGTACCTATGATAATGTGTATGGCACCGTAGCTTCATATCTGAAGGAAGTTAGTACTAGTGTCCCCAGCACCCCCCCCTCCCGCCACCAGAAAACAACCACACACTGTGTTTACGATCCTTTACATTTCCACCGCTATCAACGAGGAGGCGAGGCTTAACTGACCACTATCGTCTTAAACTCTAACGCTTGATCACCTGGTAGACGCATCAATTCATCAATCTTTGGGGAAATGAAGTGAAGAAAAACGAAAGGATTGCCCAAGGAAGAAGCAGGCAAGCAAAAAATAAATGTCTTGTTAGTTCTGTTCTCCCTAGCGAGAGGGTTTTAAGTGGGGGCTGAACTCGTGGAGAGTATTCAGTTCGACATATTGACCAGTAACGCTGAAAACTCACGTCAGCCTTCGAATTACTTTCGTTGGCCACAGTAAGGAGAACAGACCCGGTTTGTCCGACATTTAGCTCTGGTTCTCGTGAGAGGCGAATTTCCGGTACAAAGTTGCGAGCAAAATACTGAAAGAAAGAAACGTTCTTGAAGACATAGATGGCAACATTGTCAAAGTGGATTGCTAGATTGCGGCAGCGCCCCCCCCCCCCTGCATCCACCAGTATACGACAGCGTTCCAATGCCAGCACCAAGGACTAAAAAAGGACGGATATCGATCTAGCGAACGCCAGCGTCTAGTAAGTAATGAGTAGTATGGGGAAGTAGGAGGGTAGCAGGCAATCCAGCAGTCTGCTACCCTCCTGCTTCACATTTTCCACTCCTGCACGCTGCTGCAACGCTCGAAAATTCTGGTGAACGCTGGCGTTCGCTAGATTGAGACCTATACTTCCGTGTTCCCTCGAGACGCTAGTGGACTCTGGTGTTCGCTAGATCGATGTCCATATTTTTCTAGCCGCTGGCGCTGGCGTTCGCTTTAAAGCTAGAATACGCTGGTGGACGCTGCCGCAAACTATGGACCTAACTAATGATTTCATATGAGACTACCTGAATTTTATATCGTATCGTTGATGTACCATATTCCAGTTTTACCAAGTTATGATCGCAGTGTTTGCATCTGAGAGCATAAATGTTCGTGTTTTCGCATCAACAAACCAAACCTTGGAAAACATGCTCGAAGAGAGCTAACTTAAAATTCACACACCGAATGGCTCTCCTAGCTTTCAGTGGCATTCTGACAGGTCGTAGTGGTCGACCAGAAGCAAGCGGTTGCCGAAGACGAGATTCTAAGGAAGGCTCTACGGGCTCAATTGAGTCATCAAGATACTTGGTCATATCAAGTTCAGGAACCTGTGATGCATGATAGAGACAAGTATATTTTGCAAGTATAGTATTAAGAATTTTGAACAAAAAGTACCTCATCAGAAGACAGATGCAAAGGCATTTGTGGAAGAGGCTTTTCGAATGTTTTCTTGCGTTTTTGATAGATTGCTTGTAGCCCGTAACGGTCCGTCAAAAGACTCCCTACATTATGAGATCTCCTGGAAATATCATTAAGCATTCATCCAGCATAGAAAAGGGCACTACTTCTTACACCTTTTATTTAGCTTCACTTGATCCCGCTGAGCCTTTTCCGCCGCCGCCAAAACACGCATTCTCTCCAAAACTTCGCCGAGCTCTTTGTCCAAAGTGCTTTCATGTCTAAATTGTCGACATTAGGCATTCACTTCAAAACGGCCCAATTTTGTGAGAAAATAAAACGCTTTCATTACCATATTGTAGAGAATGGAATCGGCAAAACATTAAAGGCAGTTGGCACGATAAATCGCTATACAGGTGTAGGATTTGTACAACTGGCTTAACAGAATTCCGTGACCTCGGACAGGCGCTGCGTGAAGCCTTTTCCAAGGAGGGTACCTCTATAACGCCCTATTGAGCAACAACTTTACGTCCCAAACGCCTTCCTTGCCCGCCCGCCCACAAACGGACGACCGTTTCTGACGCTCGTATTCATTCATTTGCTGAGCAAATTATGAAGCAAAGGGATTGGTATGAAGCGGCGGTGATGCTGCATGCATATATGGGTACACATATGCAGCCGTATCTTCGGTAGCGGTGATTGGCAAGATGCGTACGGGAAACTCGTCCGAAATCGATTTACAAGTCACTGAGTAACGGAGGTTTTTCTTCGTTGGATTCTGACCTTTTTGCGCCGTTCTTTC